CATATGCCTGGTGGGGCTGGACAAGTCACTGAATGAGAGAGCACTGAGCAGCTGTCCCCGTGCCTTCTCTGTCACTTTCTTCCTGTCAGGGAGGAAGGAAGGGCCGGTAGGTTGCTCCCAGGAAGACTCAATACTTCTACAGGCATTTATTCCCAGTTTTCCCTTTAATGAGAGGATGCTATAAAAATACTAATTGTGGGCCCTTCCTGGTGGCGCAGCGGGTTGAAGCACAGCACTAAGAAGCTAAAGCCACTTCAGCATGAGTTCGATTCCCGTTGGGGAGGTGACCCCCATGGTGCCACAGACCTCTCCTGACCCGCCCGCTGTTCCCCTCAGCAGTGTACTTCATCAGTCAGCCTGTTCTGCTCCCCACTCTGTCTCTGGTGAATCTTCTGCACCTCTGACCTGTACCTCAGTTCTGTATGCATAAATAAATCTTAGAAGTTAAAATAAAATAACTAATTGTATACACTTGCCTTAAGAACAAAGCCCCTAAGAAAAACAGTGGTTTTCTCAGAGTGGCAGGAGTCCTGGAGATTGTTCTTTTGTTTGGCTCTGTGATCTGGTTTCCCCACAATTGAATGACAGTGTGGTTAAGTTGGGGGTCAGGTTTGTGGAGAGCTGTGGAGTCGAGGTTACTGAAGGACTAGAAAGAAACATTGTGGGCTTTTAAAGAACAAGGGTCTCTTGCACCCAAAAGGGAGTATGTTTTTGCTGGCAGGACTAAGTGCTCAGACATTGTACAAACAAGGGGGCTGAAGAAGTACGTAGGGAATTGGAACAATAAAGGAGCTAGCTTCTTTTTGCCTGCGAATCCTGTGTGTGTGTGTGTGTGTGTGTACTGGGTTCATTATCATCCCCAGCCCAGTTCATTATCATCTAGAGACCATGTTGCCCAGCTGGCCTGGGGATAAGAAGGTTCTCAAGGGAGTGTGCAAAGGAGAAAATCATGTTCAGTAAAATTACCCTTGAAGATAACTTCCCTATTAAAATAGAATATCCGTGGTTTTGTATCACAAAGTGGTTGCTTTGCATTTAAGGGCCATGATATATGAAGAGATACATACGTTTATATGCAAGAACTTACTAAAGGTGTGGAGTGGTATTAAGCTTGGAGAGGACTGAAAACAGCTGAGGGAATATCTGTCATCTTGTTCTTCATTTTGTGGGTTCTATACTAACCAAGTAGAGTGACCTGAGGAAACATCTTCACTCTTCAAATTGCTCCCCCGCCATGCCTGCCCCAGGCATGGAAGGCTTGTCTTAAAATCTGGGTTTATGAAGCAAGCCATTATTTTAAATTTAGATGCATTTTGTAGCTCGACAAAATTAACATTTTATTCTAAGGTGAAGGCATTTCATTAATTCAATTTAATTGATGAAATGCTAAGGTGAATTTATTCTTACTTCAAAGAAGAAAGCCTTAAGGGGAGAGGGTAGTAAGAATGAGGTAGGTCTGGGTATAAAACCTAGGCCTTTTTTTTTTTTTAAGATTTATTTATTTATGCATAAAGAACTAGGGTACAGTCCAGAGGTGCGGGGGTGGTGAGAGGCTTCACCAGTGACAGAGTGGGGAGAAGACCAGGCCAACTGACGAAGTACACTGCTGAGGGGAGCAGCGGGCGGGTCACCTCTGGGCCGGGGATCGGACTCATGCTGATATGGCTTTAGCTTTTTAGTGTTGTGCTTTAACCCGCTGTGCCGCTAGAGAGGGCCCAAACATGGGCCTTTTAAGAGCCTGGAGTGTGCCTGCCTGCCTTTGCTTGGACACCCAGCAGCCCTGGCCTGCTGTAGCAAGTCTTCTGTGAAGACAATTTTAACATTTTCCTGTTTGGCTCCTTCTCTGGTAGGTTGCAGTGGGAGGCAGGAGGAGAGAAAGGTTGGAGGATGGAGTGAAATCATCTCGATGTACCCTTCTCCCTCTCTCTGTCAGCCCTAAGGTGGTCCCTATTAGAGGTATGTCTGAGATCTCAGGCAGAGAGAACATTCCCCCGATACCCAACACATACTGAGCACCTATTATGTGTGAAGCACCTGGTAGAAGTTTCTAGTGTTCTGGGAACAACCTGTCAGCTCTCCTTTCTCCCTGATACCAGGACAGAAGGAAAGTGACAGAGAAGGTACAGTGTCAGCTGTTTAGTGCTCTCTCATTCAGTGACTTCAGAGCATGTGGAGCGGGACAGAGGGCTTAGGCGCTGGGGCTGGGAGTCAGGTGGTCCTGGGTTCAAATGCTACTTCTGGAATGTGTGAGCTGCTTGATGTTGGACAAGTTGTTCATCCTTTCAGAGCTTCAAACAAGTTATCCAATTATTCTGTCACAAGAAATGATACTTATTGAGCACCTACTATGTGCAACGTATGTGGGACCGATTCTGAGCAACATTCTCTGCCTGAAAGCCTTACAGACTGCAGGGAAGACTGATGTCAGATTTGTGGGTCCAAACCATGGTAACGAAGTTCTCCAAAGGGGAAAGGAAGAAGGTGATTCAGCCCCAATTTGGGTCATTTTGGGGAGAGGACTTAAGGGTCCATGAAGAGCTGTCACTGAAGTTGAGAACTGTGGGATGAGAAGTTGCTGGAATACGTGTGTGTTGAGCATTCCAGCACAGGGTAAGCATTTGTCTTACCTCCAGCTGATGAGATTCCTCTTTCCCTCCTCCTTTAGCTAAAAATAGCCAGGCTGAGCCACTGGGGAGAGCCTCTCTCTATCCAGAGCCCCCCAGAAAGTGGTTCTGTGGCTCCTGCCGGCTGCGCCAGCCCCACGGGTGTGCAGGATGGTGGCCCTCATGGCAGCCCGGCCTTCCTGGCTGTTTCACCTCCCTGAGAGCGTGTCTCCAGCGAGGCTGGGCTCCCAAGCTGGGCGCCCGCCAGTCAGTCTGGCCAGGGAAGGAACTATTTTGGGAATTTTTATGATGGAACAATATTTTTTTGGTAAACAAACGGAAAGCCGTTAAACAGGGACGCTCACCCCCGAGATCCTGGTCACCTTTCTCCACGTGAAGGTGTCACAGAGGCAGCTCTGTCCAGTGGCGGGCATGTCCCCAGGGTGCCCACCTTCAACACACACCCCATCATTTCTTTCAGGATAAACATCTGTGGAAATGGGGAGGCTGCCTCCCCCACCCTTTGGATTCCTTGAAAACAAAAGCTCTTGGTACAGTCTCGGGTAGTGGGGCCAGGCCCTCAAAACTGAAGGCAGCCTGGACTCAGAATGTGAGCTCTGGAAGGGGCCTTAGAGGGCATCTGCCGTCCCCTGCCCACCCCCTCAGCAGGGGAGTGGGCCAAGGCCTGGGGGGGGGAGCCTTCTTAGGGTCTCAGAACTCATCAGCTGCAGATAACATCGTGACCCCCAAACTCCAGACACCTAGCCTTGTTCTCTTTTTTCAGGTGTGAGCCAGACCAGTGGTCAAGAAAAGGAAGTAGATTCGTGTTCGGTGTTTTGGCAGAGTCTGCAGCTAAACCCTACAATAAATATGGAGTGACTAGGAACTCTATTCGCCCTGGCCTCCTCTGTGAGAGGACCTTCACAGCCTGGAGGCCGGTCCTTTGTTCTCTCTTGGCCTAATGAGATGGGGGTGAATGTTAATTTGAGTAATTCTGGTGATCATTGTAATGTAGACATGAAACCGTGATGTTGTACATCTGAACCTGGTATTTATGGCCATTGTACTTCAAAAGTTCATAATGAAATAAAGTACTTTGGGATTAGAGAGATAAAAGTCACTAATGTTTGTTTGGAAAACTTGGGAACTTTTAGGGAGGAAGAGCCGTAGGCTGGAGAAGCAGAGCCCAAGAGCTGGATGAGTGAGTGGCAGGCTTTGTAGGGATGAGGAGAGCTGTTTGGGGCAGGGAGAGGAGGTACACAGGACAAGCTGCTGTAAACAGAGGGGGGAAGGGGCCATTTTTGCAGACCAGCTTAGGGGTCTTCACTTATCCTTTGATGCCCTGGTCCCTTGGAAGGGACTCTTGCCTAGTAGATGTGGCTGTGTTTTGCACTCTGTTTATCTGTTGGTTGCACACTTTGCTTTCTGGTTAGCATGTCCTATTATGACTGGTCTTATAATCTCTTAAATAGTAAGCCCCCAGAGGGTAAGGCCAGTTTCTATTCACTCTTTTTATTTCCTGAGCCTGGTACAGTGTGGATCATAAGCAGTTAACCTGGTGTATGATGCAGCCCGACAATAACCATAGCCCTGGCACTGCTGTGGTCCAGATGTCGCAAAGGGAGCATCTGGCCTTGAGTAAGGAGTACATGCCAGACAGTTCAAGCTGTGGACAGGCTGAGTGCTCCCCCGGGGTCCCTCACCCACCAGCTGTGGGTTGCTTGTGATGAACATGCTGGCGTGTGCTATTTCTCCACTGACTTCTGTGTCCTCTCATTTGATAACAGAACTCCTGCCCCTGAGCTAGGCACAAGGCCATCCAGCCCCTCCTGCTTCTTGGGATGTCCATGGGTGGCTCCCGTCACAGCAGCAGTGAGGACCTTGGGGAGGTCATCTGTGACCAGCAATGGAAGCTGAGTGTTGAGGACAGCAGAGTCGCGTGATGGCCCCTACCTATACACTCTTGTTACAGGCACTCAGTCTGTATATTACTGTCTAATAGAAGGAGCTCTAGTTCTCTGAGCTGTGGTCTTGCACAAATGACCACATCTTTGTAAACCTCAGTTCCCACCTCTGTGAGATGGGAATACTAAGCCTTTCCTTGTTCCTTGGGAAGCATCTAAGAGCTGCAGAGGGAGCTAGGATTTGAAAAGCATAGCCAGCAAAGCAAAGGTACACAGGACTGTTTTCAGGACGAGTGAGGGGTCATGGCTTAGCACTCTATCACCTTCTCTTTAGGGGTTCTGAGTGGCTCAGTAAAACTCTGGTTCAGCTAATCAGAGCCAAGGAGAGCCATGTAGGATGCTCACCATCTGCCCAGAATAATTCTCTCCAACCTTTAAAGTGCTCTGAAAACACCGAATTTGTCTTGGCTGTAATGGGCCCGACCTACGGAAGTGAACTGGGTTGAAAAGCTTTTACACAATTGTAAGTAATGGAACTGGCTGAACCCAGTGAACCTCGTTAAAATGCCATGGGTTGAGTGTTTATGTTTCATGTTCATGATGTCTGAATGTTTAAATTCACACACAAAAATGTAAGTACTGAGCTGCAGTAACTTGCATGCCTGGGCCACTGTTTCAGGACGCAGTGCGTGATGGTGACAGCAGTGTTGACAGGACATGCTGGCTCTGAAGTCCATGGACCCTGCTCCCCTCAATGTGGTTTGGCTTTTCTCCTGTAAGTGCTGGGTACTGGGCCCTGTACCCTACTTTCCTGGTTGATTTATGATGCATGGAGGAGAGAGTCCTTGTGATCTAGATGAGGCAGGCAAAGAGCAGAGTTTAAGGATTTGCTGGGGAAATTGAATGAAAAAAGCAAATATCTAAGAAAGAGATATAGGAAGGTAGCAGGATAAGTGACTGAGCAGAATCAAATGGCTCAAATTCCTCCACCTTAGGAGAACAGTAAAACAAAGTATGACTCATCTCGCAGCCCATTCATTAAAAAAAAAAAAAAATCTATTAATTTCCCCCTGCACATCAGGGTCCTGCATTATTAGGTCTTGGGTCAAAATCTGTGACCTCAGATGATAGAGCTCTTCAAAATGACAATTTTGATGCCTACGTAGTGACATGTAAAATGCTGATGAGATTAATTTAGCAGAAGAAGCCAAGGTCAACATTTATGTACAATGTGATGGCAGTTAGTTTAAAACAAGTGCAGAGGCAAATGAAGTGAGAGAAAAATGGCAAGGAAATAATGAGTGTGGTAGGGTGGTACGCTTTGGCCAACTTTATTTCCCTAATATTCTGTACTGTACTTATGTTACAGTTGTAAATCTTGAATTGTTTTTTTGTCAGTAATAAGGAGGGACAAGATCTGACCACTGACCCTCCCATGTTACCCACAGGTCCAGTTCGTCTTCGAGGAAGTCTTCACCCCCGGCACACACACCTTACGCTGCAGCCTGACTGAAGGCCTGGAGTGTCAGCCGGCGTTTGACTTCTGTTTGGAGTTTGAATCATAGATGTTAACGTTTTGCCCCGAAAGGCAAAAGGACATGCTTAACCTCTGTGATGGCAAGGTCAGCAGCTCTCTAGTGGACATGGGGTGGCACAGCGCAGGGCTTGGTGTTTTCCCCACTCATAGGGCCTGGGCACCTGTCCATTTGAGGCAGGAGATGAAGGACTTGGCCAGTTGTCCACCTTGGAATGGATGGGCCGGGTTCTGCATGTCAAACCAAGGCCAGGCACTTTGCTGCCTCCCCTGGAGAGCGCTGGCTCCATTCGCCCTGCCGCTGGGAGGCCGTGCAAGCAGACAGACCTGGCTTCTTAAAGATTTCACAGATAGTTCATCAAAGAACTACCTGCCTATGGTTAGAAAAATAAAATGGTACAGAAGGGCCTGTAGTTTAAAACAGACCTCTGGGCCCTCCCTGGTGGCGCAGCAGGTTAAAGCGCATCACTGCAAGCCAGCTGCAGCTGCTTCAGTGAAAGTTCGATCCCTGCCCCAGAGGTGACCCACATGGCGTGGCAGACCTCTCCTGGCATGCCAGCTGCTCCCCCTCAGCAGTGTACTTTGTCAATCTGCCTGTTCTGCTCCCCACTCTCTGGTGAAGCCTCTCACTGCCCCTGTGCTCTGGCCTATACCCCAGTTCTGTGTGAATAAATAAATCTTGAAAAAGCCAGATCTCCATCCCCCTCCTCCTTGGATCTGGCCTTGTATCTTGAAAGTGACAACTTTTAGCTGTTTCTCTTTGCAGTTCTTCCAGTTTACCATCCCTAAGGACTACGCTTAGGCTACCGCGTACTGGCAGATCTTCTGGGACATAATCTGTTGTTCCCTGGCTCTGACTAACTCATCCTTCCACTTCGCTAGACATGGACAAGCGTCCTCCAGATCCTCCCTTCAAAAAATGGACTTGCTGCCCAGCTGTTGGGAGCCAGAAGACAGCTGCCAGCTCCTTCAAGGTCAGAATTGCCTCATCCCATTTCATGGGCTTTCTGGGATGGCCGTGCCCAGTGACTGAACAAGGCGGGGCAACAGGCCAGTCTCTGCTGCCCACCTGGGGACACGAGCAGTGAAGACCCACTCCGGACCCTGGGCCAGGTTGGTGGGGCTTTGACGGATCTGCACTGCAGCTTAACTTCTTCCTGTGCACAACCTGCTTCCTTCCCCTTTTCTGCATAGGTGTCCAACTTAATAAACATCACGTGCCCCTAACTGTCACAGTGTCTGCTTCCTGGAACCCATCTGAAAGAATCGCCCACCTGTAAGAATGGCCCACCTGAAAGAATCGCCCTTGCTCCTCTTGCAGTTTTTCTAGGATGTCAGTTTGTACCGTGTCCACTAAGTAGGAAGCTCATTTCCCCAAATTCCATCCCCCGTGTGGTTCCAAGTTTGGGTTAGCTGAGGGGCGTCTGTAATATTTGTGAGTTAGACACTGCGCGGTAGCTGTTTCCATGCTCTGAAGGTTGCTGGAAGCCAGGTCTGCTGCAGCTGGCCTGCTGTCATGAACATGGTCACGCACATGGGGCTCACTTTGTTGACAGCTGCCCAGGGCTTCTCCACTCCTTCTGATTCCCCTTCTTCAGCTTTTCTGGGGTCTGGGGTAGAGACGCGCAGCTCTAGGATAGGAGTGCCTGCTCTTTGGGAAGGCCACGTCATGGACTGGCGGCCAAGGGAACAGATGTGCGTTTCATGTTGTCCTGTGGGCTCCATCTTGTCCTCCCTCCTCAGTTCCATCCTTTCTTCTCGAACACCCATCTGCCACCTTGGACCCGACACCAGACATTGAGGTAATAGTCTTGTGGAGATTGTAGATCCAGGCCCCACAACACTGTCAGGTCTAGTCTCCATAATTGGTCATTTGTTCTTGGATTCTAACTGATGGAACTTAATTAAAGTTTCTCTATTCTGACTTTGTGTCTTCTTCTTCTTTTTTTATTTATAGGTTTTTCCAAGATTTATGTATGCATACAAGAATTGGGGTACAGATTAGAGGGGTGAGAGGATTCCCCAGAGACAGAGTAGGGGGCAGAACAGGTAGATCTACTGAAATACACTGCTGAGGGGAGCAGTGGGTGGGTCAGGAGAGGTCTGCCACGACATGTGGGTCACCACGGATCCAACTCTGTGCTGCAGTGGCTTCAGACAGCTTCATAGTGCTGTACTTTAACCCCTTGAGCCAACAGGGAGAGCCCTCTTCTTTTTTAAAAAAGATTTATTTATTTATGTATACTCCCTACCCTATAAGGTGGGCTACTAGCTTCTCCATACTTATCTTTCCTTCTCTTCCTTCCTCACATTTTTTACTAGTTATTTTTTTAAGTTGTACATTGTTAAGTGTGGTAACATTATATTGTATCCTAAAATCATAGCAAATCTTTCCTTTTTTGTCCATAGTTCCTTCTAAGTGTTGACAATTGATAGCAGTGTCTAAAGTAGACTATTTTGTGGGGGTAAACAGGTAGAGGGAGAAGTGATGGGTTATTATTTTAATACTTTTCACATTTAAGTGCAGATCAGATACCTGTGTCACTCAAGGGATAATGCTTAGTATTAAGAACTACATATTTTGTTTCACATTCCCTTATTCTGATCTATGGAATTTCATTGCAACATCATTTTCTTTGTCAGTGGTTTGTGTTTCCCAGGTTTTTTTTTTTTTTTTATTGCTCTCTTTATTCCTATATGAGCACATTGATTCAAAAGCTAATCTCATATAGAAACACTCTCATGGCCACACCCCAAAGTAATGTATAACTAGTGATGTGGACATCCCTTGATCTAGTAAAGTTAACACGTAACATTAGTCATTGCTTTTAACTTCTGTCATAAGTTTGAATTCCCCTCCCATGGGCCTCAAATTTGAAAAGGAACCAACTGTAGCTTCTTAACCCCACTATATCTTCCACATTTACCTGAAGCTTCCCAGTGATGTAAGGACTTCTTGGGTGGAACATAAATCATGCAACTCTTATGATGTAATTATAGTGATAGACAACTATCCCTTGGAAAATGAAAACTGTCTTAAATCCTATACAGTTTGCAAAGGCTAGCTTGTGAGGGACTAAGTTGATAAATAGTTTCTGGGTCTCATGCACACTGAGGGAGGGAATATGACCAAGATAGTCAAAGGTGCCAGATATAAACCTAGATTAAAAATCTCAGGCCTGGCCCTCCCAGGTGGCGCAGCGGGTTAAAGCACAGCACTGAGAATCTAAAGCCACTTCCACAGAGTTCGATTTCCGCCTGCCCCGGAGGTGACCATATGGCGCGGCAGACCTCTCCTGGCCCGCCCGCTGCTCCCCTTAGCAGTGTACTTCGTCGATCTGCCTGTTCTGCTCCCCACTCTGTTTCTGGTGAATCCTCTCACCCTCCGTATCTCTGGCCTGTACCCCAGTTCTATACGAATAAATAAATCTTAAAAAAAAAATGCTTTGCTAAAAATCTCAGGCCTGGGCTCGCCCTGATGGCACCACGGGTTAAAGCACCACATTATAGGCTCTCTGAAGCCACTGCAGCATGAGTTCGATCCCCGGCCAGGGAGCTGACCCACATGGCGTGGCAGACCTCTTCTGACCTGCCTGCTGCTCCCCTCAGCAGTGTACTTTGTCCATCTGCCTGTTCTGCTCCCCACTCTCTCTCTGGTGAAACTTCTCACCCACCACACCTCTGGTCTGCACCCCAGTTCTGTAAGCATCAATAAATAAATCTTAAAAAAAAAAAAATCTCAGTCCTCCCTGGTAGTGCATGGGGTTAGGACTCTGTGCTATGAAGTTATCCACAGCCAGTAAAGCTTAAATTTGATCCCCGGCCAGGGAGCTGACCCACATGGTGCAGAAGACCTCTCCTGTCTCATCTGCTGCTCCCCTCTGCAGTGTGTTTCAGTTGATCTGCCTGTTTTGCTCCCTGCTGTGTCTCTGGGGAATCTGCTCACCCCCTGTACCTCTAGCCTATACCCCAATTCTTGTATACATAAATAAATAAATCTTATAAAAAAAGAAAGAAAGAAAAAAACTTATACTGCCACATTTAACTGGCCCTGGGACCTGTGAACAATTACTTAACCAAATATGTACCAGCTTTCCTATTTGTAAAGTGGGATAACATTAAGGTTGCTTGGAAGATTAAGTGAACTGGCATATGTGATGTACCTAGAATAGTGTCTGGCACATAAATAATACTCAATATGTACAATATTAATTATTTGTGAAGAATAAGTGAAAGCAAGCAATATTTGCTGAATATGTTTGGGTGCAGTGCTATGGATGCCAGGAGCTTTGGGAAACATAACAGTTAATAAGAAGAGGAAGACAGCCTTATTCTTGGACTGCTTTCAGCCTAGAAGAAAAGAGAAGACACTAACTTGTTAAAAGTAAGGAATGCCATGCAAATGAGATCAATTAAAACACAAAAACAAAAACAAACAACAACAAAAAAACACAACAGAAAAACTGAGGATTGAGCAAGGGGATGAATCCCAGAAAGGGAAGAGTAGGAGTCAGGCCATAACCTGAACAGACTGAGATTGCAGATACAGAAAAATTACCTTGAAGAATTTGGGGCAGTTAGAAGGTGAAAGTTTCTTCAGGTTAGAGACCTGATGTGTGTGTGTGTGTGTTGGTGTGTGTGTGTGTACACCCACTCACCAAAAAAAGACCAATTTTTTTTTTTTAAATAAAAGAGAGGAACTTTCCAACACCCCCCCCCCCCAGGTAACCTCATTCCACTAGGTGGCTTTATGAATTCATTAGCACATCAGCTCTGGCACTTTTGTTTCAGCAACCAGGACACCTGGGGGAGTCTGGAAGTTCAGATTTGGTTGCCAGAGAGAAGAGAGATTTCATGGCCAGAGTGCCTGGTACCTACCCACAAGGGAGTGGGCAGGGGACAGGGCTCTGATATCGGCGATTATGACGTGGGGCCAGATGCATGGAGGCTGACATATGTATAAATTCCTAAAATATGGCCGTTTCCTTAAATGATAGCTCAGATAAAGGGGCCAACATGAGTTCAGATCTACCCAGTCTGTTATTTTGACCAAGTGTGGTAAGACCTCAGCTATTTGGAATCCTAGAAGGGTAAGTGGCTCGAAAGGGTTAAAACTTGAATGCCCAAAATCCTTAAAGTTAAATTATTCTGAAGGGCTTTAAAAATGTATGCATGTTCCTTTGACGTGTTAAGTGGAGTATTTGGAACATAATTTAGCCTTTTTTGGGTGCCCTCATTATCTTGAGTGTAGGAAGACTTATCACACACAAACTAAGCCCAGACTACCATGTACTTTAAATTTAATTTAAAAAACACAATAGACTTCTGAATTCAGTTCTAGCATGTAAAGAGCTTGGAAGTTATCATTCTTGTCCTTATAAAGAAGAATCTATACAGATTAAAAATCATTGACTTTTCTAAACTCATCGGAGAATTGAAGTTGCAGGACAAACCACTATCTTAAAATCTGGAGAGATTGGTAAATAAAGAGAAACACAGCTGAGATCAGTTTACCTAGAGCAGCTGCTACTAGAGCCACAAACTGGTAAGAACAGTTAAGTTATGACTTGGCAAATTGATGGAGATTAAATGTGGGCTATTGACAGAGTGAGAAACTCTTGGGGCCCAATCTGATGGTTCTCCACATTCTTATGGGTCTTAAATCTAGTATCCCCAGCAGATTCTCTCAGTGAAAAACTAAGAAAGAGCTCCTTGTGACTCTGGCAGGGGGAGAAGAAAACTAACCATTTTGAAATATAACCAGAACATTCTCCATAACACAGTCTTAATCTTGGAGTGGGTGTAAAGATTTTATCAGAGCCTTATCTCACCTGTGGGAAGGGCATTTACCTAACTCTAGTCTCTGTAGCCTTTCTGTGTCACCTAAACGGTGGAGAAAGCTAAAAATCATTTGTGAAGGCCACCACCCAGGGTCATAGGCTAATTAAAAAACTGACATTAATTATTTAGATTATATAATACTTCTTTTCCACATTGTGCTACCACATCAATAGGGATCCTTCAAAATAGCAGTGGATTATAGCTGAAAAAGTTGCAAGATCCAGACTATTTAATGAGGAATTCTCAGGAAGACCAAATACAACGGGTGAGACAAAACAAAGACTCTAGAGAATTTTGAAGCCTATGGTACTTACAACTATAGCAAAATATAAAACACAGACGAACTTCTAGCCGGACTGACATAAAACTCACATTATAGACTTTTTTTTTTCTTCTTCAGTGAATCTATTGCTCTGTGTATCATGTGTGCCTTCAACAACAACAAAAATACAACATATGCTAAACGGTAATTTAACAATACAGTCTGAAAGGACAAAGGAAGCATCAGGTCTAGACACAGATTCTGTAATTATCAGACAGGGAATTTGAAATAAACAATATGTGAAGGGCTCTAATAGAAAAAGTAGTCAATATACAAGAACTGATGGATAGTAAAGCAGATTTGGAAACTTAAGAACAAAATTTTTTAAAATGCTAGAAAAAAGTTGCAACAGAAGTGAAGAATGTCTTTTTTGGTGGTTTAATCAGTAGAATAGATTGACTGAGGAAAACCAGTGGGCTTGAAGATATTAGAAATTTATCAGGTGGTTCTAGCATGTGGATAAATGAAAGAAATAACAGCAATGTTACAAGGAAGAAGGGGTGAAGTCAGGTCCACATGTGTAGAACTCCAGCATTATCTGAAGGTGACTTAAAGTAATGGTAATTGTAGATTGCAAACTCCAGGGCAATCACTGGAGCCAATTGGTTTAATTTTTTTTTAAAGATTTATTTACTTATGCATATAGGGGTACAGGCTAGAGG